AAGAAATATTTTCATATAATTCTCATTTCTTCATCTGAGAAGAAAATCATGTTAAAGTCAGCTAATTTCGTAAAAAAATTTAAATTTGAATTCCGCGGGCTATTCAAAGGATAACCATCCATGACCGCATGCTATCTCTTCGAAACCCAAAAATACTGTAGTAAATCAGAAAAACAAAACATTGGCCTAAAAGTGGGGTCATTCTCTCATTCTGATTTTTCTTTCACTCATTTTGTTCTTTCATTTCTAACTCCGCGTTTTAAATTTGCGTTACTTCGAATTAGAGCGTCGCTCTAAATTTTGACTGATAGTCAAAAACTTCATTCTGGATGGTCTGTGTCCTAGTATCATAGCATTGGCATACCACTAGGAAACCGTTGGCAGCTTTTACGCCAATTTTGTGAATTTGTTCCCGGATATCTTTCCAATAATCCCTGCATTCACTTTTTAGCTTCTCCGTTATGATCTTCTGGTTCAAGCGACACTTCGATGAGGCAAAATTGATCTTATCTTTAGTTGAAATCAAGTTCTCCTTGTCAGGTGTCGTTCTATTAGAGGTTTTACGGTATGTGTCATTGGAGCAAACTGGACTATCCAAGAAGCAGTTACCGGGTGTGTGGAAAAGAAATTCAAACATTCAGACGGAGCAGTACAATCGAATGATCAGTGGCATTGGATCCCATTTCATTTCGCAGATAGAGCTGAAGTTCCAGCAAACCTACCCGATTTTCTGAAACTTCAAATGTTTTTTCTCCAATCCTCAACCTTTTGCGACCTAGTATCCAAGAATGCATTTTTTAGAAGTGCATCGTGGATTGTGGAGGTCATAAAGGAGGTACATCAATAAATTATTCTGAAGATCAATGTTCCCCCTGAAAAATTAAACGACCTATTGCGTTTTCAAAATTTTTTTTGGCCATAAAAGAGTCATGTGACTACAAAAAAGGCCCCTCGTGCAAAAGGTAGGATCGAATAAAAATAAAACTGGAAATTTTTCTTTGTTTAGTTTCTATAGTTACTATGGAAATTTTTACGTTTTTGTTTCGCTTTTTTTTTTTTTGTTTCGCTTTTTTTTCTTCAAAACTTCAAAATGTCTTACTATCTGAAAAGCATGAAATTGCTTGTCGTGTTTTTCTATATTTCTAACTTTATACAGTTTTCTGAATCCAGTGACCTGGTAAAAAGAATCGTGAAAGTTTGGGGACAAATGGAGGGCTCAAAAGGAAGAATTTTTGAAAATTATGAAGAATGTCTCTCAAAATGTTTGGGAGATGCAACATGTGTGGTGAGTTTCGTTTTGAGTGGTTTCGGAAAACTTTCAGTTGTGTTTGAAATTTTTCAAACTTCAGGTTTTGGTAAGATAAACTCAAAAAATGAATTTCCAAAAAGAACCTCCAATCCAAAAATTCAGAAAAATTGCAGTTGATTGCCGAAACTTCATCTGGATGTGTGAATTTTAATTTTGCCAATGTACCAATTGTAGAAAAATCAAATGCCTATTCTGGAATCAAAATTGGCTTCAAGGTAATTCATGCTGGATTGCGGTATTTTTGAAAATTCCTCCGAAACATCAAGAAAGTGAACATGTTCCGGTTTGAACTGACCGTTTTGACCAGTTGCGAAATAGTCACTTTCCAAATGTTTGGAAACCAGCAAAATTAGAAACAAGCAATGTGTTTTATTTCAGAGATCTCTTGACAAATGTCCATCAAAAACTGCCAATTCCCCATTATTTGGCCAAACTACGATTACGGTAACTTTGAAGAATAGAAAGAACTTATCATTTTTGAATTACTAAACAATGTATTCTCTTCAAGTTGAAGATCTTTAACTCATATTTTATAGAAATTCTTAAATTTCTAGATTTTCAGGAAAGCTATACCTCTGAAGGAATTTTATACAACTACAATATCACCGAATTTAAAAGTGGGAGTTCTACAAAATGGGTCTTTAAACCTCCAACAATTTGCCCAAAGGATTCTATCAAATTAACCAGAGGGAAAATTGATGTTTGTGTTTCGGTGAGATTCATTTCTTGAATATTTTTCTTATTGTGAGTACAATTTTCAGTTTCGTTTCTTCCCCGATTCTAAAAAATGCCAAAATCAAGCAATGGGTGTAAAATTATGCCAAGATTCGGGAGATTCCGGTTTGACAGGACCATTTTCTGATAAGGAAAGAGAGCTTTTCGGAAGTGAGTTTTTTTTTGAAAAAAGAATAATTGTTCAGAAAAATAGTCAAATGTTTTCAGACAAACTTTCCACTTATCAGTCGGATTATACTCATCAAAACTTTTGGATTGATGGAAAGAGAGTTGATGGTTCAAGTTCTTACACGTTCTCTGATTCTTCGTTAAGTTCAACAAACGGATATGGATCGGTTCGAGGCGCCAACGATGCTTGTCATTTTTTGGCGACAAAGGGCAATCTCATAGGTGTGGTTCACACGCAATCGTGAGTTTGTTCTTTTTTTGCCCAAAGTATCGTGAGCCAAAAGAAATCGCGCTCAAGGCCCACCAGCCAACAGTTTGAAATACCAGAGGCGCGGCAATCAGGCTGCAGAGGTGAATCGCGCAGAGCACTATATGGGCGCATTGTGGCCCATACTGTGAATGTGCGCATATAGTGTTCGTTATGACCGCTATATGGGTTGGTGTTTACTGGTCGGTGGTGGTGGGCGTTCAGTTAACAGGGAAAGCATATGCCCCGTTCGTGCTCGCATATAGTATCCATATTCCGTAAACACTCTTATACAATGTCTCTCCGAACCGTTAGCTTTGAGCCTATATACCTGGTTTCTTATAAAAGATATCAGAAAGTGGTCAACTGACAAAATGTGTATTATGATATCAAAAGCATTTTGTCAGTCGTGTCGACACAAAAATCGATACGATTTGAGTCGACCAGTCGGACTATTGAAGTCGATAAAAATCGTGTCGACTGACACCAGAAACGACACAGTATCGACACAGAGTCGACACGACACGACTCTGTGTCGACTCTTGGCCACACAACCTCGAGTCGACTCTGAGTCGTGTCGTGTCGACTCTGAGTCGACT